GAGGGCGGGGCTGAAGGGGAGGGGTCCTCGAATCCTAAAACGATGGAAGTGAATAGGAAGGGGGTTCTTTTGGTGACACAGAAGCGGGTCCCAGCATCCAGGGGGAGGGACTGAGTCTGGGGGGAGGGGTCCTGGGGCCTCGCCGTCGTCATGGAGGCGAAAGGGAGGTTCTTTGGGGACTGAGGATGGGGGAACCCCAAGGCTTTTGAAGGGCTCTTTGTTTTTGTTTGTTTAAAGTCTTTTTATTGTTGTTAATCCACATCTGGGGATATTTTTTCCCATTGATTTTTAGAGTGGAAGGGAGAGAGGGGGAGAGAGAGAGAAACATGGATGCGAGAGAAACAGGTCGATTGGTTGCCTCCCCCAGGCGCCCCGTTTGCGGGGGGCGCGGGGGTTACCTGCAGCCTAAGTACACACTCTTGACGGGGAATGGTACCCGCCACTGGCCCGGGCAGGCTCTTGGGTGTTAAGACTGGAGGGGTGGGTTCCGAAGTCCAAGGGGGAGGCTCGAGGGTGCAAGTTGAGCGGCAAGGGATGGAGCTGCAGTTGAGACCGCTCTGCGGTGAGAACCTGTCCGCACCCTCACCGCCCGCAGCAGGTAGCCACCTGAGCTGAGAGAAGGGGCTCTGCAGCCGGGATGCGGAGCCTGCCTGCTGGCCTGAGTCGCTCTGCCCTTGTGTTTACGCAGCTGGAGCCCTACATGGATGAGAACTTCATCTCCAGAGCCTTTGCCACCATGGGGGAGACCGTGATGAGCGTCAAAATTATCCGAAACCGCCTCACTGGGTACGTTCTTTCCTTCCATCTGCTCAGTTAGTTCTCCCTTAATTATGCGACAAGTGTAATTGGGTAAATATAAACATCGCAGAAAGTCTGGGCTTCTCACCGTAATAATAGTTATCCTATATAATAAATGGCTAGCCCCACCTGGTTTGGCTCAGTGGATAGAGCGTCAGCCTGCAGACTGAAGGGTCCCGGGTTCGATTCCGGTCAAGGGCACATGCCTGGGTTGCGTGATCGATACCCAGTGAGGGACGTGCAGGAGGCAGCCGATCAATGATTCTCTCTCATCATTTATGTTTCCATCACTCTCTCCCTTTCCCTTCCTCTCTGAAATCAATAAAAATATGTTTTAAAAAGAAGGCTAATATGCAAATAGACCGAAAGGCAGAACGACCAGTCGCTATGATGCACACTGACCACCAGGGGGGCAGATGCTCAATGCAGAAGCTGCCCCTGGTGGTCCCTGTGCTCCCACAGGGGGAGGACTGCTCAGCCAGAAGCCGAGTGCAGAGGCAGCGAGTGCAGAGGCAGTGGTGGGAGCCTCTCCCCGCTCCGCAGCAGCGCTAAGGATGTCTGAAGAGCCATCAGTCAGACATCCCCCAAGAGCTCCCAAACCGGGAGAGGGCACAGGCTGGGCTGAGGAAACCCGCCCCCCCCTCCACTCCCCACATGAATTTCTTGCACTGGGCCTCTATTTATGTTATAAAAGCTAACATTGGGGCCTTAACTGAGAGGAGGTATAGCATATTCATTCCAGAGCCAGTCTGTTTGAAAGCTATGTCTGCTGGGTTACCATAGTAAGTTACTTAACCTCTCTGTCTCCTTCACTTTGACTATAAAAATGGAGATGATTATGGCACCTACTTCATAGAGTTATGGTGAAGATTAAATGAGTTAATTCACATTCAGCGTTTAGAATTGTGTCTGGCATATAGTATGTGCACAGTAAATATAAGCAGACTATGATCTGTTAGGTAATAAATACTTTAAAATCACTTTTTAAAATCACAGAAATTTCTGAGTGAAATACTGTTATTAGGGAAGCTTGATAACTATCTTAAAATTACGCAGCTATTAAGTGACAAGCAGGACTCAAAGTCAGTCCTGTCCTCAAAGCCATGAGTGCCCTTAACTTTTATGCTATTCATTTAAAATTTTATTTAAAAAGACACTACTCTGTACTCCTATCCTAGCTTCCCATGAAACAAGCCAGACATAGTCCCTCCTCTCATGGAGTTTACTGCATTCTAATGGGGGAATGAGGCAATGAATTATGTAAACAAAACAATGCAGAGAATTTTCAGATAGTGGTGCGCTATTGCCTCCAGTTTCTTCTTTCTCTTTGGTGGGGGTGTGTGTGTCTTAATTTTCTTCAGGGTTCTAGTTAGAAATGAGAGGATTCCTTTATTAATTTGACAGTGATTATTGAGCACTTACTCTGTGCTAGTTACTCTACTAAAGCAGCTTGCTAAAACATCAGATGGTTGCACATATAGATGAGAAATATGAAGTACGGTCAGCTCCGACTGTTTGGTTGACAGGTACTTTGTGTATTCAGAACCTCAATACCCAGGGGCTGATTTTCTCACTGGAAAACCATGGTGGCCTAAATATTTTTCTTGCTGCTATAGACAGAAAACCCCAGATAATGAGCTCCTAGTGGGAAAATTCATTCTGTAATACCTTCTACCGTTTAAAATACTGACATAGGTTCTCACATTTTAATCTTTATCGAAATAAGATTTGGAACTACTCTTCTACCCATGATTACTAAACTCTGCTGTTTCTTATGTGGTACTTAGACACATTGCATTTACATCCTGCCTCATTTGACAAAGACTTTTAGTGGCTCACAAGAGTACTATAGGATAAATAAATGTAAATTTAAAAACCAAGACCAGCCGAAACTGGTTTGGCTCAGTGGATAGAGCATCGGCCTGCGGACTGAAGGGTCCCGGGTTCGAAGTGGCTTACAAGAGTACTATAGGATAAATAAATGTAAATTTAAAAACCAAGACCAGAGAAAATAAGGCAAAAAGATAAGACCCAAGGAAAAATAATATGCAATAGAACATAGTGCTTTAAAAATAATGCAGTCAGTGATTGCACAAATTGTACTTAATACCACAAAAATATACACTTAAAAATAAATTTTATGTTATATATATTTATTTTTATTTTTAAATTTTTTTTATTTATTTCAGAGAGGAAGGAAGAGGGAGAGAGAGAGAGAGAGAGAAACATCAAAGAAGAGAGAGAATCATTGATCGGCTGCCTCCTGCACACCCCCTACTGGGGATCAAGCCTGCAACCCC